GTGAGCATTAATATAAATGAATTTTATATTTGTATGTTACAGACAACTAGCTTCGATAACAACAACTCCGCTGTTGCGCATCAGTGTCGGTGAGTGAGAAAAACTTTAATTTAACTTTAAGGTAACGGATTGGAAGGTAAAGGAACGGTAGAGATTGTAGATGTAGATTGTAGATTGTAGATTGTAGATTGTAGATTGTAGATTGTAGATTGTAGATTGTGAATTGTAGTAAGTCCGTTGCCTTAAAATGGATGAGCTAGGATAGATTAAATTAAATAACTTTTAATAAATTCTTTCGAAATGCTTTGCATCTATTGCGAAAATATATTGAAGTATTAATTTAAAAGAGAATCATGAAAAGAAAATTTTTTTTGTAAAGACTTGACTAGTTTATTAAATCAAGAGCACGCATTAATAATTTTAAGAATTTTATCAATTTTTGATACTACTTTATTCTTATAACGCGCACTTATTTTATTCTAATTTCTTATATCATAGCTCATCCATTGTAGAATTTGTTTGTAGATATTGTTTTTAAATTTTACTTTAACTTAAAATAAAGCCAAACGATTAATTAATTAAATAATTTGTAATATCATAAAAGTTATACACATACATACATGAATTTTATATTTTATTAGAAAATATAGTATATAGAAATTTGTAGTAATTTGGCTTTATTTGAGTTAAAATAAAGTTATATTCAAATATTTAACAAACGATCGTAAAATCGAGCGATCGTTACGATGAGCGTGAAATATTTACGCTCATTTGCCGGTAATTAATCGGCAAAAGAAGGAGTGTTTATCTCCTTTTTCGATCTCTGATTAGAGATCGAGCGAGAAAATGGCCAGGATCAACGAAAAGTAAGTTCAACTGGCCTGAAGAAAAGCTTTACGTACAATAGTACGTAATGTGGGACATTTATTCACGCGGTTAGGGCATGCGGTTAGAGAATGTAATTAGGGCACGTAATTAAAATATACGTGATTAGAGATAGGCTTTCCTCGAATAATTTCACTTAATCGAGAAATAGGATTGTTAGGGCTATTAGGTGATCATTAGGTTTTTTTCCTTTCAAATTCCTTTCTACTATGTCATGCTATTAGGTCATCATTAGGTATTCCTTTCTATTATGCCATGCTATTAGGTCATCATTAGGTTTTTTTCCTTTCAATTTTCCTTTCAAAAAGTAGAGGATTGTTAGTGCTATTATGTGATTAATTTAGCTGATTTTATATTATGTATCTTTTAAGGAATCAGGAAATATAGGTTTAAATAATATTAGGGAAAATAAAATTAATAAATTTCAATAATTATATTATTAATATTAAGAATTTTTAAGTGATCAATATTTTTTGAGTGTTTTTTTATAGGTATTTTATTTATATAAGGGTGAAAATTAAATTTTTAATACTCAATAATTTGTATAGTAATACGAATTTTTTTGTGAAATTTTATGTACTTATGTAATACGAAATTTACTTTTATGTAATACGAAATTTTATATGAAAAATTTAAAATACAAATTTATATATTAAGTTATGTTTTTAGTAATATGGATAATAAATTTAATATACGAGGGTCGTTTAATAAATTTGGTAAAAAAGCAAGTAAAACACATTGTTTTGGAAAAAATCTACGTTATTTCTCAACATAGTCTCCATTGAGGTCTATACACTTGGTCGAACGAGATTCCAATTTTTTAACCGTCGAAAAAATAGACTCTCAAAATTTGCAAAATACTCGTTGAATTTCACGGAAATTTATCAAACTTATCAAACGACCCACGTATTTATGAATTTATAAATCATTTTTAAATATAGGAATTGAAAGATTTAAAATAAATAAAGAATGAGTAGAATTTATAGTAGAAAAAGATTTATTATTAAAATTTAAAAAAATTTTTAATTTAAATAATATTTTTAAATAATAACTTTTAGAAAATTTATATATTTATATATTTACTTATATATTTTATAATTTATATATTTACTTATATATTTATGGTTTTAATTTAAATAATAATTTTTATAAAATTTATATTATAATATTTGTATACTTGTATATATATTTAAGGTTTTAGTTTAAATATATATTTAAGGTTTTAGTTTAAATAATTTTTATATAAAATTTATATGTTTATTTACTTATACATATATTTGTTTGTTTTTTATACATATATATGTTTGTGTATTTAAAGTTTTAATTTAAATAATAATTTTTATAAAATTTATATATTTATATATATTTTAAGAGTAATTTCATTAATTTTATGTCATTAATTTTATTTATATAAATTTATTTAAACAGCTTATATTATTAAAGTTTAATATGTTTAAGATATTAAGAAAACTATTTTTTTTAGATATTTGTGAATATATATTGAATGTATATAATATTTTTTTTAGATATTTGTGAATATATATATTGAATGTATATAATATTGAATATAGTGAATATTATGAATATATATTGTATATATATGAATAGAAATTTAATTATATATATTATATATTATTTTTATAATAAAAATATAATGTTTTATTATTAAACTGTATAAATTAAAGATGTAAAATGAAATAAATCATTAAAATTTTTTAAATATTCCTTTTAAGAAATAGGGTTGTAGTGTGTTAGGGCTACTTCATACAATGCTCCTTATGCACATGGTTCCGGGGACTCGAGCGTTAGAAGACTAAGGAAAGGCGCGTGGGGTTTTTAGTTGGTAGGCTCCGCCGTTAGAATGGCGGCGGGGAGAGCCCAACACTACCCCGATGGGACCGCTAAATAGGTCCCATCGGGGTGTGCATAAGGAGCATTTTCCCCACGTAAAAAAAAAAAAAAAAAAAAGTATTGTTAAATTATTTTGTATTATATTTCAAATTATATAATATTATATTTTACATTAATTTTTTGTATTAAATTCTGAAAAAAAATAAAAAATTTTGCCTTCTCGATGATATCTCCATCTTATCGGAAGCATTTGCCGGCTGAGGAGGTTTGAGTACTCTAATGAGCCTGAGAGCTATGCCGGCGGTAACATACACCGATATTCGTATGGTCTTTTCTTATATTTAAGATAATTTTAAGTATGATCTTAAATATAAAAGTGAGTTATGAATACCGATCGTAGTTATTGATAGAGTCATCCATGCAGACAAGTCAAAGGGGAAGTGTCAGACTAAGAGAAATACTAAAATTATATAAATATTTGTAAAAATATTAATTATATTAATATTTTTAAATAAAATGATAGAAAAAGGGACAATAATCGAGAAAAGGGCAACTACAGTGATTTGAATATCTATATCTGAGAACAAATGTCCATAGAAAGTATTTCGATGGACTCCATAGGAAAGAATAAGCATGACAAATGATGATAATTCTTATAATTATAACACAAAGGTATACAATAAACCATAATAATCCAAGAACTCGAAGAAGAGATATATTGGATAGAAATGTATAATGATTGGAAATAATTAGAAACTAAAAGACAGTGTGCAATCTATTTATTAATAATAATACTATTTTGTAATTATATTAAATTTTATAATTTAGTACATTATATTATATATAAAATATTAAGCATAAAAATATTATGCTGGTAAGAAAATTATAATAAAAATATATAAATAATGTTGACTATATTAGAATAGAACATATGAATTCTTTATATTTTATATAAAGGAAGAGATATTTAAAATATTTTGCAACATCTATATTTTTCGAATCTTAATTATAAAAGCTTCAGAAGAATCAGTGATTACTTTAACAAATTCTATACATGTATTAATAATTAAATTTTTAAATAATTTAAAAAAATGATTGATAAATATCAAAGATCATTTTACTGCTAATTAAAAAGATTTATAGAAATACGATTAAAAAGGTTTTTATTCCACAACAGACATTTTGTTTTTTCGTAAATAAAAATATATAAATATGACATTGAATGTATAGAAAAATATTTATTTTATCTTTGAACATTACATTGGAAAATCACAATATTTTTCGGGATTGAAGTCAAATTTTAACTTCTTACTTTGTGATACGACATAAATAGATATGAATCAATTAATTAAATATATATATTATATTTAAATTTTTCAATGTTAACATAATCTTTCGAAAAGAGATAATATATCTGTATTTATGTACACATAGAATATATATATATATATATATATGTATATATATATATATATATATATATATATATATATGTATATATATATATATATATATATATATATATATATTTCTAAACATAACGCAGATATTTCAGAATAAAGTTGTAGCGTTATACTATATATACATATATATATTATATGTGTATGTGTTTATTTGTGTATATGTGTAGAGAGAGAGAGCGAAAGAGAGAGAGAGAGAGAGAGAGAGAGAGTGAGAGAAAGAAAGAGAGGACCACAAAATTTATTTAAAAAATTAAAATTAAAAATTTATTTATATTTATATACATATGCGTTTTGCTATACTGCACTGATGGCATTTCGTATACATAGGCATTTCGTGTACTACAGGCATTTTTTACATATTTAACTTTGATGTTTTTTTTATGTTTAAGCATTTCTTATACGTATTAAAATTGTTAGAAAATTTTATAGTTTAATTAGTAGCTACGATAGTACCAAAGAAATTTATTATATTACTCTAATATTGTTACCTATTGCTAAATTTTACCAACAGACGATATTGTATCAAGCTGTATGGCGGCTAGCCAGAGGGCGCTTATTGCTCAATAAAAAAAAAATAAATAAAAGCGGGCCATGACAACTCTGTTTTCTCTCTGTCTGATGTGATTGTGGTTGTATTTGATGTAATTTGGTGTGATCCCTCAGCTTTCATTTCTTTTATTCTTTGTAATTTTAGAGTTTTTTTTTTTATTAAAAGACAGTTTTATTTAATTTATATAAAATATAAGTTATTTAAAAGTATATAGGTTGATTCTCATATAATTATATGTATATAAAACAAATTCTAAGAAAAATTACAATTCTATTGTGAAGTGAAAAATTATAAACCATGGCTGCAGCAGATGTTGAGGATGACATTTATACGGGATATAATGATTACTCGTCGGTGTACAAGGATCTTGAGCAAGATGAATTATTTCAGGAGGTTATCAAAACAAGTTACGGAAAGAGATCAATAGTAAGTATGATGATAAGTCATTATATTTTTATTGCCAAAAAGAATTCTAATGTCGGTTTCTTGTTATAATATATATATATATAATATTTATTTATTAGTAAATTTTAAAGTATTGTTAATAATACTTCTTGTATTTTACTAATTTCTTACTGTTTGATATTTGTTCACAGTTTACTCCAAAGACACCGGGTACAGCAATGCGCTTAGGAACAGCAAGCAGAGTAAGAGAGTATATAGTTTATAGCATTTAGTTTAACAGTACAACAATATCCTACCATTATATTATTTAATAGTAATCTTTGTTATTAATTATTTAAAATTTTTTTTAAGGAAATATTCATAAAAAAATAATTTTTTAAGTTATTAGAAGAAATAAGTTTTTATATTATGAAAGAAACAAGTAAATGGCAAAGTTGTATCTTTTAGCTTATTTTAGATTAACTTTATTTTAATAGCATTTTAATTTAATTACACAAGAACTATCTAATGTGTTAAAAATTGAGAAATTATAAAAATGACAAGATAACATCTGTATTTTCATAGAGAAAAAAATTAATTGACTAAAGAGTCTGGCATTGATAGGAAAACAATCTTTTCTAGCTTTTGTCATACTTTTATGATTTATTACTTTTATTATAATATATTATTAAAATTTTTATAACAAGTTCCAAGTTTAATAATCTATTTAGTGCTTTTACTTTTCTAGTTTCAGAGAAGTGATACTGCTACATCCATGCAGCCTATGACTGGTGGACTTAGACCTATGACAGCAGTAAGAAGTGCTGGTTATACTAGTCGACAGACTTTTGATCCTCTCAACATGGGAAGCAGCGCCAAAGGTCCTGCACCTCCATTGGAAACTAACAAAGAAGACACGTAAGATTTAATATCTCTATGTATATTTATTTGTATATTTTAATATATTTTTATTATACACACATATATACTAAAGAGCATGATATTAAAATATTTTGTACAATTTTTTTTTAAAATTTAAGACCGGAAGAAAAAATAAAAGCAGCAGAAAGAAAAATAATGGGATTGATAGAAAGCTCTGCAGAAGCAGCTTCTGAAAATAATATGCGGATCGCCTTAGAACGTGCGCGCGAAGCCTCTTCAAGAGAGAGAGCTCTTATACGATTGCAAGAACAAGCTGGTCTCAGTGATAATCATAATATAGACTTGACATTTGCTGTAAGTTCATTGAATCATTAAAATTTCTAACATTTGATTCTACATATATATTTATAAATTTTTTAAATTCCTTTTTCAATAGGTGCTGTTTAATTTGGCGGTTCAATATACAAACAATGAGATGTACACAGAGGCTATAGCAACTTATCAGGCAATAACAAGAAACAGAATGTTTAGCAATAGTGCCAGACTTAAAGTCAATATGGGAAATATTTATGTGAAAATGGGCCAATTATCCCAAGCTATTAAAATGTATAGAATGGCCTTTGATCAAGCACCAACAGTCCATAAGGATCTAAGGTTTTTAAAGAATTTATATTGATCCATTGATATTTACATTCGATAACTGCCAAGGAATATAATTGCCTCATGTCATTATCAATAATATTATAAACTTGGCAAATATTTCACAGAATAAAGATTATGCATAACATGGGAATGTTATTTGTGCAAATGGGTCGGTTAGAAGAAGCGGCTAGTAGCTTTGAATGGGTGATGAGAGAAAGAGCTGAGTTTAAAGCGGGCTTACATGCTGTTTTGTGCCATTTTGCATTATCTCATCGCGATAAAATGAAAAGAGCTTTCTTAGAATTATTAGATGTACAACTTAATGTAGATCAGGAGGACAAGTATAGCATAAATCCTGTGAGTTGTTGGCACAATTGTACTTTGCTTACTAAAGCTATATATTTCGCAAAACATTGGCAGCACCTGCACCATGTATCACAGTGTCAACTTATTACCCATAAAGGTGCACATATTTCACATAATGCACATTCTTACTAATGGCACATTCTTACTAAAAATATCTCTTTTCACTAAATATTCAATATTTAAACTTTTTTTTATATTATTTATTTTCATTATATTTTATTTTATTACATGTAGGAATTGAATGAGATGATTATATGTGAATATTTATTCATATAACTTTTTGTTTATGTATAAATTATAAGTCATATTTTAGTCAATATCAAGAGTATACTTATTATATATTTATTAATATATATTAATCTATATATTTTCTTATTTATATTGCATAGGATGATGCTGCAACTAATATATTAAATGAAGTTATAAGGAATGATAACTTATCAATATTGGAAAAAGAAATGAAATTGGAAGCTGAAAAAAGTATACTTTGTGCAGCAAAGCTTATAGCACCCGTTATTGAAGATACACTTACAGCTGGATTTGCTTGGTATATCTTAAAGAATTAACATTTAAAAAATTATATATTACATTGTAATATCTTAATATAAATTCTTTATATAAATTTATGCAAATATTTTAGGTGTGTTGATGCGATAAAATCCTCGGCTTATGGTGTTTTAGCCGCCGATTTAGAAATAAATAAAGCTATGGTATTTTTGCATAATCGAGAAACGCAACTCGCCATAGATACATTAAAGATGTTCGAAAATCGCGATACTAAAGCTAACAGCGCGGCAGCAACTATGCTTTCGTTCATCTATTATCTCGTGAGTAAAATTTACAAATATTTGTTATATATCGGTTTGTTTCTTTAACCAGAAAATTGTTGTTTAGCAAGGAGATTACGATCAAGCTGAGAAATATGGCGAAGCAGCTCGTAATGCTGACGCTTATAACGCAGCGGCCTATGTTAATTTATCTGCTTGTGCAATTAAAAAAGATGAATTGAACATTGCTAGAGAACTATTGTTATGTGCATTAGAAACAGATGCTAGTCATGTACAAGCTCTTTATAATTTGGGCTTAGTATATAAAAAACAGACTATGTATGAAGAGGCCTTAGAATGTTTCTGGAAAATTCGTAATATCGTTAGGCATGATCCACAAACCTTATATCAAATAGGACATTTATATCAGCTGATGAACGATGTGGATCAAGCATCTGAATGGTATTAAATTGAATTATACATTATTTTTTATTATTGTTTTATATTATTTTTCTTAAACTTTGTATAACTATTTTTTATATTTATATGCTAATGTTATCATTTCACTTAAAAATAAAAATTTTACGTTAATTTATGAACATTTTGAGTCTTGCATTTGAAACATATTGCAGGTATAATCAGTTATTAGGTATATTATCATCTGATCCAGGAGTTTTACAGAAACTAGGAGAATTGTATGATTCAATAGGAGATAAACAACAGGCGTTTCAGTTTTATAATGATGTGAGTGTATATTTTTTTAATTTCTATTTATTAAGTTATCTTTGATTGTCTATAATTGTATTATCAATATTTTATATTTATTATATTTATTATTTAACTATATATATACTTATTATAGTCGCACAGATTTTATCCTGCCAATTTTGAAGTGATAGACTGGATTGGATCCTATTTCATATCAATGCAGGTAAAAATACTTGTTATTAACAATATATTGCTTTTGATAATAAATAAGAAATATTCTACATATATTTCTTAAATTTCTACTTTAAGGTTGCTGAAAAGGCGTTGACTTATTTTGAAAAAGCGGTAGAACTCGCGCCAGACGAACCAAGATGGAGATTATTGGTTGCTGCATGTTTAAGACGCACTGGACAATTTCATAAAGCTCTCATGGAGTATCAAGATATTCATAATAAATTTCCGGATAATATAGAATGCCTAAAATTTTTAATCAGATTATGTAGTGATATGGGTTTGAAAGAAGCACAAATGTATGCAGCTGAATTGAAGAAGGCTGAGAAAGCTAAAGAATTAAAAGATAGGCAAGGTTCAGCAAGGCCAGGCACGACAGGTATGTACATTTTAATTAATAACATAATAACAAATATATATGTTTTAATTAACAATTTAAAGTTTTATATTGTAATAATTTATATATATATATATATATATATATATATATATATATATATATTTAGCGATTTTTTTTTCAATCAGTCGTTTTTGTCTTTTAAAAAGGCAAGTCTTTATAAAAAAATTTAAATTTCTTATAAAAAGATAGAATTTATAAAAAAATTTCAACATCGAGATCCAATAAATTATCCAATAAATTATATTTTATTATCAACTATTCCTTTTTATTAAGTACGGGTATAATTATTTATTTTCTCTGACTTATATATCGTAATTAAATTCGTAATTAAATTCGTAATTAAATTTTGGTCGTATTTTATGCAGGATCTAGAAAAAGCAATAGTGGAACATCATCGCGAGCTGGTTCAGGACTGAGTGTACTATCAGATCACAGGCCAAGTCCGGATCGACGACCGATCTCAGGCCGAACCGATTATCAAGGTACAATCATCCAAAATTTCCTGAAATATAAACATATTTTGATATTTTCTGTTTCGCTCTTTAATAATTTTAAAAATGTTTTGAGTATAAATATATTGTGTATATTGTGATTTTATTTTCATATTTTATATATATATATATATATATATATATATATATATATATATATCTCTAGTAATTTAATATTTTATTACTCTGGTGAGATATTTTATAATACAACATTATGTAATTCACGTGGAAAATTCAATGGTTATTCAATTATTAATGCTTTAGCATTATGCACACTTCTATTGAAAATAAACATCGGTAAAAGTGATCTACAGGTGGTGCACGGGCTCTCTAATGGATTGAATAAATGATGGATGAACAGCCACTTTTACTAGTTTATTCTTGTTCCCTCTTTATCATTTAATACTCGGCAAACAGATATATTACTGATTCCAGCTTTGAATCTAAGAACTGACATTACTAGATATTTATGTTATATTTATATATTGAATCAATCCTTGTTTAATATGTAATATTTATAATAATTATATAATTTCAAGTCTGTTTAAAAATATGTTAATCATTCACTTATTTATTCGAATATTAATAGAATTATAAAAGTATAAAGTTTTTGTTTTTCTCTTCTTTGCAATTGTAATTGTTTTTAGGTACGAGTTATGTAGATCCTATAGGACCTCTTCCTACTCGGCCTATGACAGCAGCCGGAAAACGAGATGATGATTTTGGTGACGAGGAACTTGGAGATGATCTATTGCCCGAGTAGTAACTTGTGTTGGTTATGTATTTGTATTGTTACATAGATTTATATATTTTCTAATACTAAATTAATTGGAAGCAGTAAAAAATATAAGTTATGTTATGACAGCACGTATTAATATTTGAATTACATAATTGTATTAAACTATATTCCAGAATAACAAAAATATAAAATCACAATAAGAGAATCGTGAAAAATTGACAATTTTATTATAATAAATATATATGTTATATCAATTATATTATTCTTATTTTATTTATTCTTAAATATTCTTGGCAATATGTAGTTTCTTTAATGTAATTTTGATAAATTTATGTAACAATGTCGTGTGTACGCATGTGTTAGATGCTTAATTATTTTTTTACAATATTACAGGTTATTATCGTTAAATTTTTGCAGTTAAATGTTTATATTAATGTCACAATTAGTATAAAATATTTTGTGCATCAGTTCTATAATAGTATGTCAGTTCTATAGTTCATAAATGTACAATAAAGTTTGACTCTTTTTTTTATATGTTAAGTTATTTATCTAATAATAAATTTATATATATATATATATATATATATATATATATATATATAAAATTTGTATCGAGTTTAAAGCATTAATACTTTTAGAAATTAATTGCTAAGGCACGTCGGCAATGAAATGTTCTCCACTGTATTTTTGAAGCACAGTTAGTTCATATGCTGAGATGTCATATTTGACATCTCTTATTAACCCTATGTCAACGCCCCGCAATTCGTAGAATCTCTTTATCGGATGTTGCGTATTACAGAATTATAAAATCGTCGTCATTACAGTGACTTTATACAAGATTATAATGTTACTTTTAAGATAAAGATTTATGATATTAAAATATATTTTTAATAATGTGTGTAATGTATATAAATTTTACACACGAATAGTTTATTATATTTATATTCAAATTCACGATGAAGTCTATTATTTGCTATAGGATTAATATCACATTATTTAATTTTTAATTGGTAAAATATTTTCAATCGATTACGAAGCACGATTCAATTCAATCAAAACATATTTAAGGATGTAAGATTGGTCTTTACTAAAGGGGAATGATTTATATAGGCCTGTTAGAGTCAGGCAATTGCAACGGTCTAAATTTAAACATCGGCCGTTCTAATCAAACTCCATTCAGCTTATGTAGTCTGTTGAAACGGATGTTACTTTATTGCTTGCCCGTATATATCTATGTATATTTCATACGCATTTCCATGCATCGCATATGTATTACACGATTTTCTCTTATCAGGTGTTTTTCCAATTTTTATCACATCTTCTTTCAATATTATATATATATATATATATATATATATATATATATATATAAATATAAAATACACACACACATATATATATATATATATATATATATAATATAAATAAATATATATATATATACACATATATATTTATTTATATTTATATTTATTAAAAAACTTTATATCCTTGTATTTTTTAAATATGATATTTTTGTGTCAAAATTAAAAATATTGCCCAATCAATATTACTTCTTAATTTGTTTACGCACATTCATGTATACTTTCTGGAATATGCCGATTGTGGTTTTTTTATTCGAGATAACTATTTTTTTCATTTCAGATAACGTGCGGTAAAAAATTGAATTTGATGATAAAGCAAATGAGAAATATGAAAAGACAGGGGACACATCGGATCAGTTTATTCAGATTCGCGCAAAGCCACGTGTGTGTACAATAGATGATGCGTGGGTTTGATGTGCAGAGAATGAATAGATTGATACGGCTGTCACACGATGCGTAAACCACGTGCGATGTAAACGTATCCGACATTATTTTGCTTGGCTTTTTTAATCTAAATTATTTTGTTTAAGATTTAAATTTTTTTCAAATATTGCACACAAAAAATAATTTGAGATAGTTTTTCAGAAATTTGTATCTTTTGGAAAAATTCAGCTAAAAAAATCAACTAATGATAATAAAATGCTATACCATCAAAATTCATACAGTTTGTAAATTTCTTGTAATTTCTTTTTCGTAAAAAGAAAACGAACTTGTCAGAGGAGAAGAGAAGAATTAAATTTTTTTTATATATAAAAAAGCCGGCTTTTTTCAATTTAAATTTTTAAATTGTTTGCGACATCTATTCATCCGCTTCCTTATCCTTAGTGACAGTGACTTAATTGATCATTTTAAATGTTAAAGCTGATTCCAACATTCCTTTAATTGTTAGATTCCAATTAGCGTAACATGAATAACGATGAATAATAGTTTCTAGGTCCAATTAATTATCTCGCTTCTCGCTCGCCCGAATGAGGATTAGGTTTAACGTTTGAATTTACTCTTGAACAACCAAAAGTACATTCTTCGTCCTCGAGCAATCGATAATCGATACACGTGTATCGATTTAATCAATCCGCGTAACTTCTTAAGCGTAATTTATGTTTAATCATTTCAAAATCGACTTGTTAGGATTAAGATTTCGGAAAGATTTTCCATTTATAAATATTTCAAGATATATCGGGAAATTATGAGAAACATAAACAACTGTCAAAATGTGCGTAGTTCTAAAAGAAACTTCCCTAACAACATATATGTTCAAAAGACGTCCATAGAATATCTGGAGGACAGCCAAAGGATATTTTATGTCCTCTGGATGTCCTCTCGATGATCTCTGGACATCTTTTGGACATGCGTGTTGTTAGGGTTTATTTTATTTTATTTTAAATTTTGTTTTATTACGAACTGAAGCAATTTTAATTTGAAAATTCTACAAAACTTGAGAACAAAATGAATGAATTGAATTAACAATAAACTTGTGTGTATTGTCTCGGCCACGTGTTTTGGAATATCAATATAAAGTCAAAATCACGAAGAGAAAGCAAGGGAGAGAGGAGATAACATGTGCGGTCAAGTATTTCTCAAGATTCCGGGAATCGAGACTCCGGAATTTATCAATAAACATGAGTTCGGTATAACAATAATAATATAAAAACAATCGTGCCGTATATATGACACTGCTCGGCGACTCGCACGTCGAGCCTCTGTTTACATGAACACGTCACGCGGGCCTCGCGCCGCGACCTCTCGCATGCCCGCGATTTACGCGCTATCGTGACGCGCTCGGCCAGTAGTGGTGGATGGCGCGAGCCGGCCGGTTGGTTGATCGTGTGATACGCGGGGGAAGCTCGTCGGGAGGCACGACCAGTCGGCCAGTCATCGCTCGTCGACCAGTCGTCGCGGGCACATTTCCAGGAGTCTCGTCTATGCGTGTGTTGCGTCCGAGGAGGTCCCTTGGTCCTGCGTCCATTCATTTCGCTCATCTTGATCGACATCGAGGTCGGTATCGAGGGACATCGCTAAAACGGAAGCGCGTGCACGAGATCCAGGTACGTTTTATCTCGATCAAAATCGCGAGTTAGGTAATCTCTGTTAAGAACGCGTTCTTCGATCTCGCTGGAGAAAAACCATTCACTTGTCGATATCGATTCACGAGAGCAGCGGCGTAGTTGAGGTTTCTTCGAGAAAGTACCTGTCTTTCTTCTGCCGATTTTCAATACAGGATGTTTAGTTTCGAGACTTGTTTTGACGGGACGCTCTTCTATAAATGTATATGATAATCGATTGTATATAGCATAAAGACGGGTGGCATGATTCCATTATGGAAATTATACTCTGATCCTTTTGAAAAGGACTTTCAATCATGATTATCTTTTTTTCAATAATTACAAACTCGTTGATATAAACATATAATATATATATATATTTTTTTTTTAAACTTTTTTAAAATAGTCTGATATAAAAATTTATTTTTTTGATACATGTTTCTTTTTTTAAAAAAAAAACGCATAGGCTTTTTTCCGATATTTTTGCTTGAAGAAAATATTCACATATATATAATATGCATCGATGTAGGATCGATGAATCGCGGAACTTGGTCTTTCAATTCGGGTCACTTCCAAGGTACTGCTCTTGACATTGTAACAGGCGATTTGAATTTGAATTTACGAGCGATATATTCCGATTAGAATGACTTATGACTATTGCTCTCAAAATAGATTATTCGATACAAGAGCCATTTCTTCTTCCACATAATGTTGGAATGATCACTACAAAAATTAAACGAGGTCACATTATTAGAGAAATCAACGGTTAATGGTATCTTTTTTGTCGATAAGTCGCGGCGATTACAAGGACGTATTTCCAACGAGACGTTTTCCAACGAGATAGGCAGATCGCGAATCGCGAGGCAATATTTTGCGAATTAATTTATCGAGATTTATCATCGCTCCAATTTGGCCCTCGTTCAAACTCGCAAACATCGGCTCTTACTCCAACAATCAAAGCGTCATCGCGTTTTAGATATCAGATCCCCCAGCGAGCCCGTTTTTGCGATGTTTACTTTGCCGGCGAGAGAACCACGTGGGTCCTTGAAATATTAAACACGTTGCATACCTTGTCTCGTCGGGCATTACCGTGTTGTAACACGTGACATTAGAAACGTGGAATGTAGTCGCGCGACAGAGAATCTCCTTATAAATATTTATAATTTCCGCTTCTCTATTTTTTTCTAGTCAACCGCGGAATCATCATGTTATCAGGACGATAAACGCTAAATTACTTCACCGATAACATTTTTAGATTGTCTGTAGATTGGAGATTTAATTATCGATCTCGCAAACGTTAAGTAGCTCCTTTTGTCTCATTATAATAATATGTGCTTACGATAAGCAATTGAAAAGAAATGGAAGAAATTTTAAAAAATTCCACGATATTTGCGATGAGATTACATTGGAATTTTTATACTTTGCAGGAGGCATTTAACTATCTCGATATGTATTTATCAATCAACAAATCGAATCATCGTGACTGTCTAGATATTACGTAAACGTATGTGTTGTATATCTCATTATAAGTAAAATTTAATTTTTGACATTTCTCAGTTAAAATTGCAAAAAAAGTTACATTTTGAATTACATCACTTGAAATTATCATATTACGTTAAATTCGCATCTTCTAAAAGAAAAATTCTTTCGCCACCAGTTAATATGATTTAACGACGCGCGTTTATTTGAGAAGCGCAAACGAAATCGCGCAAAAATTTTCGCACAAAAGCGCGAACGTTCCGGCAAAGTTACGTACTCCGAGAGCGTATTAAGGTTTCTTCCACCTGCGATAGCGTGGTCGTCGTAAAATATACGCAAGGTCTCTCGATCGAAAATACAATCTGCCGCGGCTGTTTATCGCCGCGCGTCTCGTATTTTTTCCACTCATAAGAGTTTCGAAATCGTCACACAATTAATGTAAGATCGTTAGCGGTGATATCTCGATCGTTTCCGTCGTTCTTACCAAATGACAGATGATATCGAATCGTATCCTGTGTTTTTCACGCCGACGATATATTATTACGGCTCCAATTACAATTACAAATAAAGATCGTAATAAAAATCATTGTACGTCAATTCGCGTGACATCCGTTGCGCTTGGTTCACTTGACAGTACGTTATCATTTGACACCACGTGATATCATTTCTGCAACTTTATGCCTCTTATCTTCGTTCCAAGAGCTTGGTTTCAGTTTTCGTATGTGTTTTTATAAATCTTATTTAAAATATGCTCTAAAAAATCTCTAAATATTTAAAATCTCTGCTAACCCATGATAGATAAAATTATTCTTATCGTATCACTGTCTCGCGAATCTCTTAAAAAGATATTTCTCTTTTGATTGCAATTATTCGTAAAAATTTATCTAATCTAGTCTTAAATCTGCGAGTGAAATACGCGATAAATATGTTCAGTGGCAAACGCATCCGAGAATGCCCTGTTTGACACTTACGTGTTCTTGCATTTGACATCTACGCATCTCACTAGAATTTATTCGGTGCCTCGCTGATAATAGTCATGAATTACGAAAGCTTCATTATTCAAACGGTAGGCAGCTCTTTGGGGAAGCGCACTCGATTAGATAACCAGAGTGCACTTGAAGCCAGGCCTAATCTCTCAAGAGTTGTACAATATCGAATAAGTTGGAGTATGTATGTACATACAGACAGTATTACTCTTTCATTCTCAACGAAGATAAATTATACGTTGCATTTCCTGGTTTTATTTTATCCTGATTTTATCTCACTTTATCTCGAAAATACAATAAAATCTCGTTAGAAAGTGGAAGATTGAATTTAAAAAAAGTTTGATTTCACTTTAACTGAGAAATAATTAATATTTTTACTTGTAAAAGATAAAATTTTTTACTTCGATTCTATAACTCGATAAATTTTCGCATTTGATTTTAAAGGAGTTAAAATATACTACGAATGCGACATATTCATCTGCTCAAATACGAGATGTTTTTTCTCTTCGTAATAAGTGTATTTGATGTATATAATGTTTCTCGTAAAATTGGTACATTTTTCTTTTAAAAATATTATGATATAAATAGCTGTTTATTTTGGAATTATAATTTAAGAATTGTAATTCCTGCATTTTATTTTTCAGTTAATTATTTAAATGAATAAAACTTTGATTTGAGATATTACATACATATAATTATTATAAGATATTTAATATAACAATACTTTAAAAAATATTTTAAATATATATAAATAAAATTTGTATAAAAATAGAATTAAAACATATAATCTAAATCGTGAAATATTTTACGCAACATTTATACAGTATTGATAAAGTTGCAAGATAAATTATTTAGAATCCTTGCAGCTTCATTAATGTCGCGGCACGAACAATGTTATGCTTACGTCAGATTCGTTAATCTGATACGCTGATGGTCGTAGAGTGTGATAAATGAAGGATGGATGGTCGATGGCAAAGTGGCAAGAAACGGCGTCGCCCGTTTACAGAGATGAAAAAGGCGCAGTCTGTGAAATAGCGGGCTTGAAAGGACAAACGAGTGTGCGTGTTGCGCTCTGGATTAAAATCGTCACGGCAGGTCAACTGGCTGAATTATCTCGGTTGACGTTTTGCACCTTCCAATTGATTTCAATGGAGTCTCATTCGCCATCAGTTTACAGCCAGGAAAGAATATTCTAGCTTTGCTTTTCTCGTCTACCTGATTCTCGTCGTAAAATCGTCTTTTACTGTCAAGATCGTGTTACAGCTGACAAATAAATATGCTCATTTACGTCAATTTAAATTTTCAACTCTTTCTATTACAATATCGAATTTTTATATTAAATCAATTAAGAATGAATTTTTTTTTATAGAAATCATCGACTCGTTTTTTATTGGAGTAAATTATTTAATTACATGTGCAAAATTTTCTACAGATTTCTATAAGTATGCAATGGGCATATATATTGCGTTAAATGTATATTCAAACTAAATACTATAACGAGAGCAGAATTTCTTCGAATCGTCTTGAGAATAAAATTGGAGTAGGTGCGAGTAACGAGTAAAAATGAGAACAATTATGCATAACGATGATACGCTATCTGAAACAATCAAACGGACTGAAAAGATGGCTTCGCTATTATATGTAAATGGTCGTTGATAAACGCGTTGTTACACATATAATGTAATACTACTACATATCATTACCATCGATATTACTCGATTGAATTGATATTCAAATGCTCGTGGCTAAATTAATATTCATTCGAATGAACGATCGAGTTTGATTAAGAATCGTTATTGGTAAACCGGTTGAAAGCCAGGCTGTCCTAACAACAAACTATATATAAAGTAAAATTAAAGTGTTTCTTCTTTTTCGATATTTTAATATAGCTCATTTGAGACCATAATAGTTCATTATTATTTTACTAATACGTTGCATTCTTCACATCATATTTTATATACTCATATATTTAAAATTCGGTGATGTTTTAGTACAGTTTATCACAGTTTATCATGAAGCATTTAGCTAATTAAGTATTTTTTTCATGCATAATCGCTGATGCAACGCGTTCCACTTTTTCGGATTCCTATTAATCGACAACGCATGAAATTCATTTACATCAATACTCAATGATACGTTACAGTGAGGGGGATTATATCTCAGTCGACTCACGATTTATAAGCATAATACATCATGTTATCAGAAATTACGTATCTTAAACTAATCATTATAATTCACATGAAAAAAATAAACATAATTGATTATTGCATATCGTACGACTTTATTAAGTTTAATCACACATTTGCTATATAAGTAACATGTCTAATATTTTTTTAACTTCACATCAGTAATAAGTAAAATAATGTTATTTGAGAATTTTTGTTTTTTTAATAAATCAATTTAAAGCTTATCGTAGCTAAGGATATTTAATTTAAAAAAATAATAAAAAAGAAATAATTTAGAGATTTTTACCCTTTATATTTTTATCTATTATCTATATATTTTATCTTCTTACAATTATAAAATTTTTTTAAGAATTTTTAAAATTAATTAAGATAATTAAATTATGTTAAGAGTAAAATATATATATATATATATATATATATATATAAAATTTATATGGGCCGAAGAAATTATTTAATTATTTAATTATATAAAAAGTTCAAGTTATATATAATCAGGAAAATTATTAAAGAAAATTGACTTAAATTAGAAGAGAGAATATTGTCAATCTTTCGTTTAGAAGAAGAGAATATAATACTCTATAGATAGATAACGACTGTGTTCATAGTCATGCGTATCATGCGTCACACGTATTGATAAAGCTCTGACCGTTTACCGACCCTTCCGATATATAAAGTTACACTTACGGCGTATAAACTGGCGGATGCATATTACTAAACCGTCTCGTGATAATAGAAAAACGATTATTAAGAAAGTATACGTTATGTCTACGTGATAAACATTACAACATTTTATTTAGAGTCTAATCAGTATATTGTAAGCATTTATGTAACACACCGATAGATTGTATTCTATTGGCAGTAAAATTTTATTAGAGGCATGAAGTATCTTTTAGATTTTTTTTTGAGATGAAATATCGTCTTTGATAGCACCTTTATTCCTTTAATACCATTTCTTTTCAATGATACAAATTTTTACATAAGTTTTTCTATTTCATATTAGTTCTTTTTTATATATTTTTATAATTTAGGGAATGAATAAACATTGCTAATTATTTTGAAATTATTTCAAAATATTGATAGAAATCTGATAGATTCGACCAGTATGTCTGTTGGAAATAGAACAGAATTCCTTTAGGAATTGCCAGATGAGTACGATTAATGTCTTCCTGTTAAATTTACCAAATTTTATTGGTAATAATACTAAATTTACAAAGATCACTGTGTCCATGTTAATAAAATTAATAAAACAAGAAGTTTCAACAGAAGATCCAACTAGAAGATACTAACCAAATCTTTATAATGTAAAGTCTATTAAACTAAAAAATAGAGTCTTATCGTGATATCTAGAAATTCTGCTTGGTTTAGCCATGCCTTCTATCAGATATGTCTTATTGGTACAATCAAATGATTTTTCTCAGTGTATATGTGATTAAAACGAGATATCTCTTATTTTGCTACTGTTGCCTCGAGTTAACTCTGATGTTTTATAAACATTTTCCTGCTTATAAATCAATATTTTCTCTTTTTTTCAAGAAATTCGATAAGGTTTCGACATGGTCGTTCCAACGGACCATGCGCTCCACGAGGCGATTCAAGTATCGCCGCTGATACTTTCTGACGATGTGAGACGACAAAAAGTGAGTATAACGCATGTTTGAATTTTATAGCCGATGCAATTTCGTAAACGTATACGTAACGCTTATGTTTATCTTATAAGATTTATCTCACATTTTAAACGCTTAATTTCATAAATTATTTACCCTGAACTTCTGCTCCCTTACACTTATCGTATGATGCAGTTGAAGGCTGATATTATATCAGAACCATGAGATATAAAAATGTATGTAAATAACAAAGACGATCAACACACATTTTTCAACGAATTCTCTCGTTAAGAAAATAGAAAAATTGCAAATAAATTACTTCCTATTATTACATTTATCGTTTGCCATATGTAAATATTATTTACCTGAAAATAAAAATAATAATTAACAAAAATTACTTTATTAAAGGTGCAATATGTCTTACGTGTCATTAATTCCACTTTTCCAGTCATTTTTTAAAATTATTGTTATTTCCCTTTAATACGACTAAACGAATATTTGATATAAAAATCATACAAATTTATTGTCAGATATAAACAATTCTCTCCTCCTTTTACAAATAATGTATTTAAAATAAAATGTAGTAAAAATGTAGTTTGATTGAAACAGAATAAAATATATGAAGTAAAGAAAAGGTATACTTTGTTTAGATATCTAAATTTGTTTTCTGATAAAGCATTATTCCTATCGTCTTTTCATGACACGTAGAGAGAAAATGATCTTCCAATTATTGCATTTCGTTATTAACACAGTTCTCAAATATATAAGTGGCAAAACAAGTGAAATCATTACCCTTGCAATATTAATTCAAAGTTTAGTGACACGAAACGATTGTATAGATATTTTCTCATTTATTAATTATGCTAATTGTATCACGTATACGATTAAATATTGTATGACATGTATTACATGTCATCAGATACAAAACGTTGAATGTAATAAGACCTTTTCTATTGAAAACAACATTTTTATTGAAAAAAGAAAAAAGACTTTATACTCGATCTGATCGCTATATTGAATTGTAACAAGTTATTACACAATATTACGTTATTACGTAATGCATAAGGAGATTGGACACATTAGTATTTTCGACAGATATCTTGGATCTTAAATCAAATAAATCTTGATAAAGTAACTTCTGAAGAATATTCGAGATATAAATCAAAATATAAATCGAGATATAAATTATTTCCTATTATTACATTTATCGTTTGCCATATGTAAATATTATTTACCTGAAAATAAAAATAATAATTAATAAAAAATACGTTATTAAAGGTGCAATATGTCTTACGTGTCTTTGTGCATTTTCTTGATGACTTCCTTTTAATAAGTTCACATATACCATCTCCAAAATTTGAAGCATCAGAAAAAATAAAAAAAGCTCATTATATATGTTCAAAAAGAGAAAGAGAATTGCATATCTGTGTATACATCGAATCGAAATTTTACTTTCAATTTATAATCCAACATCTATTTTGATATTTTAAGCAATCAGATCTCTTCTTTTCTAAAACTATCTAATATATTGCTTTAGCGAAAACTCCTCTTTTAAATTTTTAAATGGGAAATTTATTCGTTTATTGCTTATTTGGTACAAATATATATTTTTATATATAGGAACTTAGTTTTTCTATATAAATGAAATCTATCGAAATCTTCTAAATACTACAAACATGAGAAAATTAAGCTTGAAAATGAACAAAATTTTGACTTAATATTGACATAATATTGTACGTCGCAGTTACGTTCGTGTGCTTCGCATCGAGAAACAGGATTAAATCGGATTTCGGGTTATCATGGCTTAAACGTCATATATTGTCAATTTTTATCGTTCTCTAAACTGCAGGGTTATCGAGAGGTAATCCTGTTATTAAAAGTTCAAGGCATGTTAACAGTTTATCGGTATAGATAACAATGTGGACTCTGGACAACTCCTGGACAACCAATCGAATCGAGGGAAAGAAACTGATCTTTGGCTTATATATTATCCATAACAACTTTTTTTCTACATTTACAATTACGAAGCAATTTCATTTTTATGGAAAAATCTTTCGATTGTAAAACGAACATTCAGCGAGAATTGTATGACGCAAAAATTTATATTTCATCAGATAAATCTCTGGAAAATTAATATCCATTTATAAAGTAATCCATTAAAATGAAAATTAATACTATAATAATATTTCTAAGTTAAGCCTAAATATCATGTACTTCTTTAGAAAATAAAACTGTACTTTTTTAGACGCGATATAAAGAAGTTATTATAGATCGAAAGTTTGCGAATATGCATTTTTTTATGTTTAGCATTTTCCCACAGTTTACTGCGTTTATGTATTTGCTTCGATAAAAACGGAATATAGTACAGTCTTCTAGAAATGCATGATATTCAAAGGAGTAATAAATATATGCTTTTTTTAAAAACTATTAATTTATTATGTAAGAAAAATAATTTATGTAAATTCATTATATTAATAATTATATTATGTAAATTCGTTATATTTCCCATATTATTATAGTTATGAGATTATATTATATTATGTAAATTCTATTATATTATATTATATAATGGGATTATATTATATTATGTAAATTCTGCTGTCATATGAGAAATATAATGAAAGAGAGAGAATTTACATAATGTAATATTATATTAATATTATATTATGTAAATTCATTATATTTCCTATATTATACTTATGAATAATAATAAATAACTGTCCTTGATGCACGTGATTAGAATGTACACAATAACTAGATGATAATTTAATGATTCCGTAAGAAACCACGTTATGTTCATCCGGAATAAATCTTTTGTTTGTTAAATATAATTAATTCTCTCAGGCTTTGTACGTTATAAACAAGCATTGCTATCTCTCTTTGATCTATCTATTTAGACTCTTGTCAGAAATTGCGTAATACATAATGCGACGTTGTAAATAATGCATCGTGTTCGAAGTTCCATGACATATATATGTCGAGATATCGTCAAGATTTACGAATTGCACTTTTTTTGTTGCGTGACAGCAATAACATAGATTAATATAAAGATTATTACGAAATATGTATCACGTGCACGTGTAACATGCTTTTTAAAAGACAAAAAATTCTGATTGCAGATTGAGAATTATACAGCGAAGATGCGATTCTCCGCGGCAACCGCCAGGAAGATACAAGATGTTTTTATTTCGGAAATGAATAAGGGAATCCATCTACAATCCTCTTCATTACAAATGGAAAACACCTATATACCGGAACTGCTCGATGGAACAGGTCATTAATGAAGTTCCCGTATTTAATCCCGCAATGAGATAGCATATATGTATCGTGCACTTTACATTTCCTATTATAAGCTTTACCACTACTTAGCAAAGACATTTTCGACAAAGATACAGAAAACGAAATTAATTTACATCTAATTAATATCTTACGTTGACGATAAAGTAAAATGTTTAGTCAAAATATTATAATGTGTCGATTTAATTATTATGGATAATTAATCTTTAGTCTATAAATGTCTATAAATGTCACATGCTGAGATTTTTAATAATATTTTTATACCGAATAAAAAGAAGGAGTATCTGAAATATATTTACAAGATTTATATAAAGCTATTTTGTAAAATATACTTAATATATTTTAATCATTATCATAATCAACATCAACGTAAGAAAAATATATTTCTTAGTTTTCTGATATAATTTATATAACCTTTTACATAAACTTTATATAATCTGTTATATAAGTAAATCTATATATAAACTTTTATTTTAAATTATTTATATATAATCATATATATAAGAAATATTATTTCATTAAAAATGGGAAAAATAGGAAAAAGGAAAGAAAACGCAAAATTTTATCCTATTTTATACTATTATATTTAATATTGAAAGATTTTAGAATGCATATTTGAATACTTGCAGAGGAAGGTCTCTATTTGGCTCTCGATCTTGGCGGCACCAACTTTCGTGTACTTCTGTTGGAATTGGCTCACGGTGCTCCCATACGACAAGAAGTGAAGCGATACTACATTGGATCTGAGTTAAGGGTCGGTTCAGCAATCCCTCTGTTTGATTATCTGGCTGAATGTGTCAGTGATTTCGTCATCGCTCAGGGTCTTCAGGACGTAGAGCTTCCTCTCGGTAAATTGACCCTTTGATATCTATATTCTATCTCTATTGAACACGCGAAATCTTTAATTAAACGCGAGTCATCGCACAATTGTTTATAAATATAAATAACAATCTCGCGATGACATATTGTAGAAAAAATTTTTTTTCTGTTGTAGGAAACTAACGGAAATATTATATATTAATAGCCAGTTATATTAGCATAATTATCTACACTTTGAATCATTATTTACACTTCACATTCTTTCCACTTCCAACTCTGATGAGCTTCGTCTATGCAGGTTTCACATTCTCATTTCCAATGATTCAACATTCGCTGGATGTTGGTATTCTCGTGACATGGACCAAGACTTTCAACTGTCCCGATAGCGTGAATAAGGATATTGTAAAACTATTGCGAGAAGCCTTAGACCGACGAGCCGATACGAAGGTGAAGGTTGTTGCAGTCCTAAACGATACCACGGGTACCTTAGTACAGGGTTCGACATTGGATCACAATGTAGCGATCGGACTTATTCTAGGAACTGGCAGCAACGCCTGCTATCTGGAACGAGCCGACCGGGTCGAGCATTGGGAGACTGAAAGACACGGTGAGAGAGAAGTGAGTATCGAATATCGCAAATTTTTTGAGATCGATTTCTTATTCGATAAAGATATTCTTAAAAAACAATATAGCGCACAGTTTATTTTTAAATTTAAAATAATTTTAACATTTATAAATTTTTTAAATTATTTATTTAATAATTTTTTATATACTTTTATTATTATTATTTATCATATGTATAGCCATAAATTATCGGCCTAAATTATCGGTTTCTTCATTACTCTAGGTTATCATTGATATTGAGTGGGGTGCTTTCGGCGACAACGGTGTTTTGGACTTCATCAAAACGGATTTCGATCGCGAAAACGACGCCAATTCTCTTATCGTGAATTCGTTTACGTAAGTGGACAAAACTGGTTGCATTATCTGTAATTATGCTATAATTATTCTGTTTGTGTGCGCACGTAGAGTGGATATTATTTCTGATAATATCATATCAGTTTGTCCGAATTACAACAGAGTTTGTCACAACTGGTTTATCTGTACGAAAAAAAATTAAGATTTTGGATATCAAGCTTGATTAATTAAAATTGACTATAATTAAAATTTAATAATTTAAAAAGTTAAATTTAAAGTTAATTTAAAGTTTAATTTAAAGTTAAATTTAATAATTTAACAATTAGTGTTTTTAATAGATAAATAACGATAACGGTGAATGTCAACGATAAATAAAATTTTTCCGATAACTTCTTTATCCTCTTATATAAGAAGAATTTTAAAGAAAGATATGCAAAGAAATCTTATACAAGAGTTCTTGGAACAAAATTAGTTCCCAAGACGCTAATTTTAATATCTAAAAAATCCTTGTTTATATCATTATAACTTCTTTCTTTAGATTTGAAAAGTATATTGCTGGCAAATATCTCGGTGAAGTGGTACGCGTGATACTTGTGAGGTTGATCAAAGAGGGGCTGTTATTTGTAGGAGAAACTGTACTAAATGGCCTTTTGATACCTGGCAATCTTACTACTGATCTGGTGTCACATATCGAACAGTAAGTCTCCAATCGATCTTTTAATCCATAAAAATTCATAATATATAACGAACTTATCGTTTTATTTCAGGGACTCTATTGATGGCGGTAACAGCAATACCAAGGAGGTTCTCAAGAAATTTGGCATCATTCCAGATGAAGACGATATCAATATTGTTCAATATGTGTGCGAAGTTGCTTCTAATCGAGCGGCTCTTTTGGTATCAATATGTACGTTAATAAAGTTATTTTGAAAAAACTGCAACTCTATGTAAACATAACATCTCATTGATGATTTTTGTTGAAGGTCTCGCGAGTTTATTGGATCGTATTGATAAGGAACAAGTCACGATTGCCGTAGATGGATCCCTTTATAAACATCATCCTCGATTAGAAAACTGGATAAAGCAATATATCTCATTACTCACCCCGGGACGACAGGTATGTAAAACTGTTTCTAAAATTCTAAATTCACTATACCTGACATTAATAATGTAACATTTTTCATGCTCTTTCTCTTTATAAAGATAGAAAATAATTATTTTTTATTATGCAGGTTTTTTACAAGTTTTCATTATTTTGATATAATTTCTTTTCCTTTAATAATTTATTTATTTTTTGAATGTGCAGTTCAAATTAATCCACGCGGAAGATGGAAGCGGCAAAGGTGCTGCACTTATTGCTGCTATTGCACAACGACTCCAGAAGCGATTACAATAATCGCGAATACACTAGAATTGTCACAGTTATCGTCGCAAAACAATATGCAAGTCGATAGTCAGAAATATTTCAACAGGTCCTAAATTACAATATCATAATTTTCTTTTAGTATCTGTCAATATCAATCCCTTCGATCAATATTTGCATCGGATTATAATGTATTGTACAAGTGACGATTGAAATTAATCTAGGTGAAAATGCATTATGGAATTGCATTAGAATATACTTGTATCGATTTTGTACAGATGTGAAAAAGATAGGGGTATCGATCGATTGAACAATGCGGGAAACGCGTGCGTGTGCCATTTTAGAGAAATAAATATATGCTCGTCAAGTATAATAAGAAGAATCATGAGAAATGGATTATCGATACAATAAAATGATATATATATATATTTATTATAATTATTAATTATGATTAATAATTATTTGCTAAATGAAATCACAATTGAAACGTATATACACGTTTGCAAAGTTAAAAATTGTTGCGTATTGTAAATGTTCTTTTTTGTACAAAAGAAATTAAATTGTTATAATAAAAAATATAATAAAAAGTTGTAATAAAAAGTTATATTAGTATAAAAAATATAATAAAAAGTTGTAATAAAAAGTTGAATATATAATAATAAGTAATTTTCTCACGGGAAGTTTTGTCAATATGTTATTAATTGTATATAAAATTTTAACTATTTTTAAAAAATTCAAAATGTTTAAAGAAAACTTATATGTTCCTACTTATATCTAAGACAATATACAATAATACTTTAATCAACAATAATATTTTAAAATGATGTTTAAGACTTTAGAAAAAAAATATTTTATTTTAAAATTTTACTTTTAATGGAACTTAGCAGCAATACTTACAAAGACTTATAAAGACATTTAGTCTCTTCTTGTTTCATTTTATATTTCGTTACCGTTTCAAATATTTGGAGACACTTAAAAAATTACATAGTTTATTTAGATTAATTAAAACGGTAAATATATGTAAATAAATTTCAAATATTTAAATTCTACCGCGCATTCCAATATTTTCCTATTATTTTCAAAATAGTGGGAATTATTTCAAATGTATTTTTAACATTAATACATTATTTTTGTGGTATTTATTAAAATATTTAGTATTTTATTTTACATATTGAATAATTCTATTATGATTGAAATACTATTATGATTGCTTACATTTTAATGTCTTGAAAATTGTAATTGTAATATAATATTATAAAATTACAATATATATGTACGTACATACTTAAACGAGATTTGTATTTCTCGAAATCAGTCACTAAACTATCACAGAGTTACTTTCAAGTCTTGTTCTATGCTTTTCGTGATGGTCATGATTTTAGTGAAATCTTGCACATAAAGAATTATCAAAAGTGTCTCTCTAAAGTAATCATCATAGTTTTTGTATCTCAATATAGGCGATTTTACGAACGAAACTTTGCATATTTCAAGCTATTTGTTTGAAGTACAATATAAATACAATCTTGATGTACGATCATCAGATACGTCGTCATTAGGTACGCATCTGAATTTATATCAATTAAAATTCTCAATCATTTAATGATTTTTATAACCATCTCTATTATTCATTTAATTAAATATTTTATTTCTACATTAAACAGTAGTTTTCTGTTGTTTTTTTTTGTTCTTCACGAGAGAAAAGAGAGAGAAAAAAACAAAGAAAACTGGATGTTATTTTATATTGAGTGTAAATAAAATGAACAGATCTGGTTACTGCGATGTAATTGGTTGGCGCTTCGACTATACTACGAGAATCATATTTCGATAAATTTGAAATTGTGGAGCCACATTCAGGTCATTGTATCTTTACGCGTCCAACAATGAACCTCATCGCGCGCGAAGTATCGGAAGTGCCTCATAAAAAGTGTTGTCAGCAATTGTTATTGTGCCGTTTCGAGTATCGACGATCCGTTTTCGTGTGTTTGAAATCGATTGAAATTCTCTTCGCACAATTCACGCCGTTATTTTCTCGCAATTAATGCACGATCATTGTCAGGTACGTTATCGTTCCACGATTAGTAGCAATCGATGCCATTTTCGCAAATGTTTCTCTTACAAATAATATTCCCGAATCGCTGCTAATAATTAATAATACACGGCATAATCTATAAAGACAAGACTGAGATCAGTATTTGCCGAGTATGAATAATTCTAGATTCGAGGGAAGATAACTGACGCGCTAGTTGCCGCCATTATATCGTTATAAAATAAGCAATTATCGCGAAATCTGAATCTAAGAAAACTATAAATTTTCCCGGATTCTCAGTAATTTTTTTTCCATAAAACGCATCAAGGTACGGGATAAAAGAATCGATCTTGTTGCTAGGCGGTCGCGACGCGACGGCCATCGGCTAATCGTTTCCCCCAAAGCGCCAACAGATGGCGCGGGGCAGGCGGCGCGCGCATCAAGGATCAGCGGGGCCGCTCGAGGAGTGACAGCTCGCGAGCTCGAACTGTCATCACGGCGGTATCGCGCGCGTCGTCCGTACCGTGTCCGCGTTCCCCGTGCTGCGAGTAAACGCGAGTAAACGTGACGCGACACGACGTGACGTATCGTGCCAGTGCCGTGTAACGCGACTCGCGAACGTGTCCCGTCCGTCACCGAGCGATCGCGTCTCGAAATCGCGTCGTTTCTTCCCTTTTTTTCTTCTCCCCCGTCGAAAAAGCCAAACCGCCGCCGCGCACGGTGGGTGCGCACGCAAGGTAGAACAGCTCGCACCGTTCGCTCGCTGCCGGCTCGGCCTCAGTCTACTGGAAGATTCCATTGTGCGAGAGTGGGCTTTCGAAAAGTTTCGCGGCACCGCCGGCGAGTTTCCGCGGACGTCCACACCGTCGACAAGCCGGGACATCGAGCCAGGTAACGTGTCGAATCATTATTAGCCGGCGCCTTGGCGAAATTCATCATAAGTGTGTGTGCCTATGTATATGTGCGAATATGTATGTGTGCGTGTGTGCGTGGGAGAAAGAGGGAGACAGGTTGAGGTTATTACAGCGGCCGCTCTCTCTGGGTTCAGCTGGGCTCTCAGCTGATGCACCGACCGACCGGTTCGCTGCCTCCTGCGGTCGATTCTTACGGACGTGATGTAGCGCTCATTCGCGTTCGTCGTGCTTTGTCGCTGACAGTGATAGCTTCACGGTTCATTCTAGAGCGTTAATTCCGAGATTCGATCCCGCTTTTTAGATTACGTGTAATTTACACGGGAGGGAAATTTGTGCTCGATGATTAGCAACGATCATCTCACGACAGCCATCCCGACCTTGCTTTTGTATCGAAAATACGAAACGGCCGAGGAAGGGAAGAACGATTAACTAGGGTTAGCGCTAACCCGAGGTCGGGCGGAATCGAACGTTCTCGCATTTCCTGACGAATCGACTCGCGAGTCCAATTTCGACAATAGTTTGTGACAGTAACCATTATTTCCTTTCGAAGCTATGAAAATAAACGTCCCATTATTTTTCGTTACTTGTACAAATCTCGTCACTCTTTTGTAAAAATTGTTATGAGTATCACAAAATTCGGGAATGATAAAGGATCTATTCTTTAATTATCGATCTTGGGGACTCGCCCGCAGTTGAAACTCATTTTTCAAGCACAAACGTTAATAGCTCCTTCAGAGGAATTTTTTTCTAAAATTAATATTTTGCGCGAGTGATATTGATAAGATCAATAGATTAATTTTTGAGAAATAATTTGGAAAACATATAAATATTCCATTTCATTAATGAGTTACATAATATATAGTTATTTTTTATATAGTTATTTTTATAAAGAAGAAACATGTGAGAGACAAAGAGTTATGCCTATCATCCTGTCATTCTAATTGCACCTTTTACGCTCCTGTCGAGAACACAAACGACTGTTCGCCCTCTCGTACGAATACGTGATATATTGGCGATTTCACCTCGCGAGATTCTCGCGGCGCGTCGATTCCCGGTGTTGACCTCGACGACGATGTCACGTCGCATGGTAACCGATTGATACTATTAGAAAGGAACAATCGCGGAGAAATCGGTACCTCATTTCAGAAAGGAAAATCATCTCTCACTATTTATAGATGAAACTTTTACAGTGGGACATGCAGATTTAATGGAGAAACGGATGAAATGATGATGCAAAAATCTCTTTAACGAGTAAACCAATAGTCGCTTATAGCTCTTCATCGGATTCTATGATATTTTAGAAAATATTAGCGCACTCTTAATTTATCTGAAGAACTCGTGTACAAGATAAGATATTTTAGAAAAAAAAAAATACTTCGGGAAATCGATACAGGTACATCTAAAGTCGCGACGAAGAATTATTCCGTTAAATACCGCGTTTAAGTTGCATGATTAATTGCACAGGTGGGAGCATTCATTCACCATTCGTGGTTAACTTTGACCGTTGAACAAAGGCGCGAATCGAATTTACAAAGGGCTGGAATATAATCGTGTGTACTCGTCGTATGTGCATTCGTCACTCTAACCGTAGCTTTAGTCGTGAAATCTCATTATGAATCTCTCGCCAGGATAACGTAAAATAATCCGCCGAGGACCAAAGTAATTTCATGCAATGTCATTCATTCTAAAGTAGCTCGTCTTTATGCTACTCTTGAGAGACATTGCCGAGAACGGCTCCGTACGTTGTGCGAATTTAATTCTGAACCCTCTCTTATTGTAAGATTTAATTATACAGAGAGCATCTCTCCCGTCAGTACCGCGTTAAATAAACTATTCGAATTAAAAGATTCCGCATGTGAATCATTCTTCATTTAAATACTTCAGATATATGTATTTTAGATTATTATATATTACATATATTTAAATATTCATTGGAATATTAGTTTTTGAGCGGCGGTTAGCTGTGTAAATATAATGTCAAAAATTGAAAAAGGTCACATTAAGGATTTTTAGAAGAATAAGTGGAAAGATAAATACATATTTATTTTGTTTCCTTGACATGTTTTTTTAATGAAACCCTTTATCAACAATAGAAATATATAGCTATTATATAAGGGTACTAAAAAAACCTATTATATTAGAATATTAAATGTAAAACGTACAACAGGAAAAGCAAAGTGTGCATGCGGTAAAAGCGATAACAATACACGATCAGTAATTATTCGAGCGAGTAATTTTGTTTTACAGAAAACAAAGGAGAAAGATAATACAGAATCAACAGCTGTTAAAAGAAAATTAAAAGAATTTCTTTCAAAGCAATCTACTATATCTACGTAATGCCAGTATAAATTATAATTATCATCATATGAATATAGTTATCATAAACAATAATCAGTTCTTTTATATTATTTTTATTATCATACATTATTATAATTTTACGCGACAATTTTTTTTATTATTAATTTTAATTTAATTTAATTTAATTTAATTTTTATTTATTATTAATTTTTTATTAATTTATATATATATATATATATATACACTGAGGGAAAAATTTTTTTAAATCAAATAAATTTGTTTTCTTGAAACTTTTACTTTAAATGGAAGGAATTGTTTATTTCATTTAAGCAAAAGCATTTAATTTTAATTAAATATGCATGTTATATTAAGTACATTATTTTCATTTATATATTTTTTATATTTAAATACTATTTTCGTAAAATATATACTACAATTTATTAAATTAAATACATTATTTTTTAAAATTAAAAAATTTAAAATTTTTGGGAATAAAAAATGCATTTTAATAAATATTTTGATAAAATTAAAATGAAAATATTTAATTAAAAATTATATTTTTTAAGCATATATATTTTTTTAAACATATGTAAATAAATGCTTAACTTAAGCAAACAGACGTTTTGAATACAAGTAAATACGTGATTAGTACTCACCGAATAAATAGCTTTCTTGAGTTAACTAAAATTTTTTTATTTCAAGATAATTTTTTCCTCAGTGTATATATATATATATATATATATATATATATATATATATATATATATATCGTGTGTATTTTAAAGCGACGCTGTATTACCATACCTGCTCCGATCGTATCGCGGAAGCTCCTCGGGGGTGGGGAGACGGCAGGACGAGGGGACTGTCATGGCACCGTTATCGCTCGCAAATCGACTCGCTTTTCCGTGAAGCGCCGCTGCCGCCGCGCGTTCTGCAACGTCGAGGTCACCGCGCCCGGCTGCAGCTGAGCTTCCAGCTGACGAGCGGAGGCTGCGACCGGTTCGCCATGCTCGTCCACCCCCTCCCCACTCTTCTGTTTCCCTCACTCTCTCTCTTCCTTTTTTATCGCGGTCACCTCCTCCTTTTTCCCTTTAAATCGCCTTTCACGTGCTTCACGTCGTCGTCCCTCTTCCTCTCCTCCTCCTCCTCCTCCCTCACTCGCTCGTCTCACCCCTCCTCGCAAGTTTGCATTGTTCGTCCCGCGCGCGCACGGCCGGCAACGGCCGACTTCGTTGAACCAGTTCCGAACCGTTTTGTTCGCGCGTCTCTTTGGCACGTTCCGCGTGTGACGGCGAACGCGCGTCGAGCGACTTGACGGGGGATAAGGGGGGGGCGGAGGGGAGAGAGGCGGACGCGCGTCAATTCGGGGTGCAATAAAAGATACGTGATACGCACTGACGCATACACGCGCGCCGTGATTTTTGACGGATCCGGGACGAATTCCGCTTTCGAGTAATCATCCCCGAGTGAATCATTCACGGCGGTGGTGGGAGAAAAGTGAATGTTTAGCCAACGTTTTCCACGGTGTATCGCGAGGAACTTTCGCCGGCCGACAAAATGTGCGATGCCAAAGATATACGTCTGTAATTGACATGTAAGATATACTATTCTATTGGAGATATGTACATGCTTCATTTTTATTCACGCATTTGTTGATATTCCTAGTTTTTTAAGATCCGCGGAACTTACATGTATTCCGGAAGTAAATTGATCGATCAATGTAATATTTAAAATTATAAAATTATAATCATAATATATAATTTTATATATCATTATTATATATTATATAATTTTAAATTATGACCATAATTTAAAATTATATAATGTAATATTTAAAATTATAAAATTATACAATTATAACAATGTAATATTTAAAATTATAAAATTATACAATTATAACAATGTAATATTTAAAATTATAAAATTATAGGGGATGATAAAAGTCTCGTGCTGGAGTACTTCTGACATGTATATATTTTTGTGGGGAAAAAGAGGGGGAAGGAGACGAAGCGCGGGATTACATACACTTTTGAATCAATCTTTGGAGAAAAATTTTGCCTTCCCCCTCCTCCCTCTTTCGTCGCGAGCGTGACAAACGGCTGATTATGTTCGCGGGAGTTCGTTTCGTGAGAGCGGTAAAAAAAGACACCGGCGGAGAAATTGCGGTACTTCTGGAAATCTAAACGACTCGAAATTGCGAGCTCGCCGGACACGCGATTCGACGTTGCGCCGTTTCGAGGTAAGGCTTATGTTAGGACACAGATAGAGGTGACACGCCTCGCATAGAGAGAGATTCGTCGGTTTAAACCGCGTGTAGTACAATATATATAGCGAAATTACTCCAGCGCATTTATTCCGCTGCTAACGAGATCATTCGGACGGAGTGATGTAATTCTGTTTTGCTTCATCATTCATTATCTGGCATTATTTAACTGGATTTCGTGGATTTATTTTCGCCCCTCTCGTTCGAACGAGACCAGACCGCGTATCATTAACCTTTCTGTCCATGAACAGATAGCGAACTTGAATGTTAAAAAAAATTTTAATGTTCTCCGAAACAAAAGGGAGTTTCCTTTGTATTCGGAACCCCTCCAAGAGATACAACGGGAAAGAATTCCCAGCAGTTGCTATAAAGAAATTGTCGCAGTGTATGTAATGTGTCAAAGACACGTGGAAGGT